CATAAACACCACTTCATGTCAGATATAGCAAAGTATTACATCAACACCACTTCATGTCAGATATAAAAAAGTGTTACACAAACACCACTTCATGTCAGATATAAAAAAGTGTTACACAAACACCACTTCATGTCAGATATAGCAAAGTATTACATAAACACCATTTCATGCCAGGTAAAAGAGATATACCCATAAACTTGCAGTTAAACAGTTATTTTGTCCAACATCTGACGATTTGTCAAAATGTTTTGTTCAATATTGTTATTGAATCTATGGTAATGTTGCTAAGGGTTTAGTAGAGAAAACTGTATGTCGTTTCTTATGTTATCCATCAGTGTTTTATGTTTCATGTGTCTAGTTTATTCCCAAGTGTCATTTGTTGTTTCACGTGCTGTAAAACAAAGAAATTTAGTGAAACTATCGGTCAACACGTGGTAACCAAGCCTATCCAATCATAATCTTCATCATAAAGTTTATTCTTCACTTGTCTTGCTTATTCTCAAGTGTCATTGTTTGTTTTTGCCTGCTGTAAAACAAAGAAACTTAATGAAACTATGGTTACCACGCGGAAACCAGGTATATCCAATCACAGTCTTCATATATTCATTACCGTCTATCAGAATAAGCGAGAAAATGTCAAGATGATAAAAAACAGATTTTATCTTACATGTATGGCAATAAACCTAAAAAAAAAAGAAAGGCGTTGCTAGCCTGAACGTCTTCTTTAGTAGCTAGCTAGCAGTGTGGTCTACATTATCGCTATTTCCCAGGTATCGCAACGTATTGTTCTTCCCTTGAGTCCAACAGATCAGCGAGCAGTGAAAATTTAAAAATGAAATATTCATTACAATCACTGTCATTCTACACGATGGCTACCAAATTGCTTCTCATCCAGGGGGTTTCCGTTACGCTTGCCCACTTTGTTCTCACAATTTATAAGCGGCGAAATTTGCAGAAACAAGGCACGTTTTTCATTTGGTAGGTCCGCTTCAAATTTCATTCCAACCTTTCTGTGGGGACGAGAACGACTGTAAAATGGTAATACAAACACGATTGAATCTCGTAAATAAAAATAAAGTCCCGATTTAACGTGGTCCACCACCGACCGCAAGCAATACTCATTGCCTCAAACGCCGTAGCGGGCTTCGTGCGTGATTTAGGCTCACTATAAATGTCTGAAGAAAGAATTTTCAGGTCGACTCCCCTGGTTAGCTATCTCATTATCCCGGCACTCCGCTCCCTTTTCCTTGCATAATTTATCGGCCTAGGCTTGTGGCTCCAGGCCTAATGACCGGCAAACTTACAAGTCGAAGGAGATAGCCTCTAAAAGCAACCTTCTCTCCCGGGCCCGGTTTGATTATTTTTTAACATTGTCCTCAGCAAGTACGATGACATCCCACGTGGTCATCGGAAGTTCTGCCTCTTCTTCACATTTTCCTCGTAAGTTTTATTTCGTCATGTGACGTCATTCGTACACGATATCGTACGATGGTGCATTGTGGAATCGACTACGTGGAGGCTTGATGATTTAGTAATATATTGTGTTTGTTATGTGTCAAGGGGTTTGGTTTAGTTTCTGTCGCGACAAAAGGGACGGTAATTATATATGTAATTAGTTGATTGTTATTTTTAATGTGAACCCTAAAAACCATTTACACTAGCTAGCAAAACTAACACCAGGACGAGCTGAGAACCGAGTTTTCAATTCTCATCATCAACTTTTATATACACCTTTAGGTGTGGAGGTAAACTTGGTGTAGTTTTATTTATACGTTTACCTTGATAATCCTTCGCAGTGAATGAATGGTTGAAGACATTTACTTATCAAAGATATCTAAAAGTTATGGTTTATTTAGCCTTATCGGGATCAGGTTGCTTAAGTTGTTTTATAAGTATAACCCTAAATAACAAACTTCGTATCGTAATCAGGTATTTTATAAACATAACACTGAATAGCACAGTTAATTCTATGATCATCTCCAAATGATGATTATCAATAAGATCTTCTGAATGAAAGTAAAAAAAAATGTGTATAATAATACAATGTCATCCGCTCTGTGCTTGCTATATCCGGTGCCGACGAGGACTTTTGTTTAATGGTCTTCAGGCGATACAATGTCATCCGCTCTGTACTTGCTATATCCGGTGCCGACGAGGACTTTCGTTTAATGGCTGGGATACAAGCCATAGTTTCTCAATGTCCGTTCTTCGTATT